GGTGTGGATACTACATTCCCTGCGCTTCCCGTCTCTCTATAGCGGCCGCTCTCTGCCAGCGACCGCTCCGCTTTACCGGCTTTTAGTTCTTTGTTTTCGTGCTTTCTTTTTCTTTCTTTTTTGTATTTTTTTTCTTTTCTTCGTGTATTTGTTCGCTTTTTTAGGATGACATTATTCTTTCTTTTCTTTCTTTATGTCTATCTTTTCTCTTCCTCGCTCTATTATTTTCTCTTCTTATTTTTTCTCTTCTCTCTCATCTTCTTCATCCTCTCTCTCTCTCTCTCTCTCTCTCTCTCTCTCTTCTCTCTCTCCTCCTCTCTCTCCTCTCTCTCCTTCTCCCCTCTCTCTCTCTTCCCTCTCCTTCTCGATCCCTCTCACTCTCTTTTCCTTTCCTTCTATCTATCTCCTTCTATCTCTCTCTCCTTCTCCCTCTATCTCTCTCTTCCTTCACCCTCTCTCTTTTCCTCCTCTCCTCCTCTCTCTCTCCTCTCCTCTCTCCCTTCTCTCCCTCCTCTCCCTCTCCCTCCCCAACAAATACGGAAGCCTGCCCCAAGAGGCGGATGCCATATCTCACCGTATGTTTATATATGTCAGGAGATTTTATCACATGCTGCCCTTCTGTCTTCCCAACGTCCGTATACTAATTACAGACGTGCAGATTCATTTTCGCTCAAAGGTCTTTAATTATGCCGCAGATCCTATCTTATCTCTAAACCTTCAAAGCTATCGTTATCTCCTGAAATTGAATCTGTATGTAACCGGTTTTTTAAAGCGCGTAGGTGGTGGGGGAGGGGTGGGAGGGGGAGGGGGTCACGGGAGAGGTGTGTGCCTTTGTTTTGTGTGTTTCATGCCTATGGCCTTTATTTACTTATTTTTTTATTTTGGTTTCATTTACTATCATAAATTTTCTCTCTCCTCCTCCCCCCCTTCCTTCTCTGTCTCCTCTCCTCCTCTCCTCTCTCTTTCTTCTCTTCTCCTCTCCTCCTCGCTTCTTCTCCTTCTCCTCACACTCCCATCATCATCATACTCACCATATTCACCATCACGGCCACGCTATTCAATCAGCTTGGCCGCCATCCCAGCATCTCTCTCCATACCGGGGGTTGGTATCAGTGCCTCATCCTCATCACCAACCGCGCGGGAGTGATCATAAATTTGTTTATTCTCGATTTTTTTCTGTCATTCGGTGCTCATGTTCACTGCCGTGCGTTATGGCGTGTCAAGATGCTTCTCAAATCTCTCTTTATTACCTGTGGTCTCTCTTTCCTTTTCTCCTTCTCCCTCCCTCTCTCTCTTCCTCTACTCTCCCTCTCCCACTCCCCCCCTCTCTCTCTTTTCCTTCTCTCCCTCCTCCCTCTCTCTTCCTCTCCCTTTCTCTCATTCTCTCTCACTGTCTCTGTCTGCTGTCTGTTCTCTCTTCTCTCTCTCTCTCTCTCTCTCTCTTCTCTCTCTCTCTCTCTCCCTCTCTCTCTCTCTCTCTCTCTCTCTCTCTCTTCTCTAATACTCAATTCTCCCAATTGTTGACTTCAATGTCGCTTCAGTGTCTGTTTTTTGATTTCTTACATACCCAATCACCTCGAAATCATTCTAAAAATGGGATTGCATTCTCAACATCAACAAGAACTTTAATAATAATGAAAATTATAATGATAGTGATGATGATCATACCAATAATAATAATCATAATAACACTAACGATATCAATAATAACTATAACAATAATAATACCAATAACAGTAATAGTAATAACATAGTAATCAGCAGTAGCAAGCAGCAGCAAAGCAGCAGCAGTAGAGTAGTAGTAGATGTAATAAATAATAATAATAATAATAATAATATATATAATAATAATAATAATATATAACAAACAACAATAATAATAATAATCATCATGAATAATAAATAAAACACAAAACAATAATAACAATATACAAATCAAAAAGATAATAACAATAGTCAAAAGTCCTGAATCCCACTTCCTTTAACCCGGCGACGCATCCTCTCGTCTCGCTGACCAAGCCAGCATCTCCGTCTTGGTCAACAGGGCGCCGCGCCGCCCATTCACGGGAGACGGTAAGCCAAGACTACCATTATCTCTCACTATGAACCCGACCTTTGCAGGGAATGAGAGACGAGAGAGGGAGGTGAGATAATGAGAGTGTGATAGGGATGGGAGGAAGAGAGGGGGGGGAGAGGGGAAGGAAGGGAAGAGGAGAGAGGGGAGGGAGAGGACAGAGGAAGAGACAGGAGACGAGAGAGAGAGAAGGAGAGAGAGAGAGAGAGAGAGAGAGAGAGAGAGAGAGAGAGAAGAGAGAGAGAGAGAGAGAGAGAGAGACGCATGAGCGAGATCGAGAACGTGAATGAGTAGAAAGTTAGAGAGAGAGAGAGAGAGAGAGAGAGGAGAGAGAGAGAGAAAGAGGAGAGAGGAGAGAGAGAGAGAGAGAGAGAGAGAGAGAGAGAGAGAGAGAGAGAGAGAGAGAGAGAGAGAAGCGAGATGGACGCGCGAGAGACTCCCTCACCTTCACTCTTTGTTTGGGATCTCCATCATCTCCCGGCTTATGACTCTCTTTACTCCATGCTTTATTATCTTCCCTTAATCGAATGTCTAATATTCTGGTCTCTTTATGTACTTGCAAAAAAGGATCTCTTACTACGAGAGGATGAAGGCCCGCACACACGCCCAGACACGCGACCACACAAACACACATCCACACAATGTTTTATCATATGTGTACATACTGTGAGTAAGCACGGGCGTGAAACCACGTACACGTCACGCACGCGCATGCATACATACATATAGACAGACACACACACACACACACACATACACACACACACACATACACCACACACACACAACACACACACACCACACACACACACACACACACACACACACACACACATATAAAACCAATGACTAATTCACCTACAAAGATCCTTGTATGAATCCGCGAAACATTCCATCTGCCCTAAATCTTAATCTTGTCTTCCTCGTATAATATTTCGTCCTCTTATAAACTCGCAATAATCTCGCTCTTTATGCAACATATTAATTTCATTCATCACTGCTAACATTCATCATCCCCGTTGTTATTTCAATTCTCATTATCTCTATCATTCATACTGTCATTATCATATTAATCTTCTGGATCCTCTATCCCTTTTATCCGCGTCTCCTTTGATTCCCTTTCATTAGGATTCGCTTCCTCGCACTAAAAAAAAGAAAAAAAGTTATGTTCTCTTAAAAGCTCCTTGCTCTTCCTCTTACGTGAAACGGTTCAACTTCTTGTTCAGTCTTCAGGTTCTCCCCTTCTCCCTCCCTCCCTCCCTTCCTCTTTTCCTTCATCCTTTTCCTTTCACCATTTTTCTTCCGTCTTTCGCCCCGTCCCCCTCATTTTCTCTCCTTTGGTCTTTCCCTTTTCCCCTCTACTTTGTTCTTCCTTCTTTTTCCTCTGTCTTCGTCCTTCCTATCCCTCCTCTTCCCTCTATCTTTCCTCCTTTTTCTCCCTCCCTCCCCTTCTCTCCCTTCCCTTGATCTTTCTTCCTTTCCCTTCCCTTGTTCCTTTCTTCCCTCCTCCTCTCCCTCCTGTTTCCTAAAATCCCCATCCTCTCTCCTTTTCTTTCCTTCCTTTCCCTAATCTCAACCCTCTATTTTCGCCCTTCATCCCCTCCCCTGCCTATCCCCACTCTACTTATTCTCTTTCCCTTCCCCCAACTCCCTCTCTTTCCCCTCCTCCCTGCCCCATCCCTACCCCACCCTCTTTCTCCCTCACATTCCCTCCCTATCACGTGTCTCTCCCTCCTTCCCTCTCCTCCATCTCCTCCTCGACCTCCTTCAGTCGACCACCTTCTCCGTTCTCTCCTCCGTCCCTTTGTCACCTCCTTTTATCTCTCTATCCTCAACCCTGTTCTTTGTGTTATCGCGTCTACTTCTCTCCGTGGCACAATACTTCCTCCTTCGGCCCCAACACGCTCTCCGTTCCCTCCCATTTCCATCATCTTTTAATTGTCCCTTGAAGATCCTCATTTCTCCGGCCAAGACATTCTCCTTCAATAAAATCTCGCTTTTTACTCATTAACATGCACCGAATTCTTTCGCTATTACTTCCTCATTCCCTCCACCTTCGTCTGCGTATCAATTTTTCCCCTCCCTTCTTACACACGCCCTTATTACCTCGTTAGCACGCCCTTCCCTATCTCCCTCGACCTGCCTCGACCTCTCTTGGCGTAAACACACTCTTCGTTCTCTCTCTCCTTCTCTCCCCTCGCACTTTCTTCCCCCCAGCCGCCTCTATATGCACCCTCCGTACAGCACCGCGCGCCCCTTGTCAAACGCACTCTTCGTCACACACACCCACTCTCCCCCCCATTACCCCCTCTCCATCTCCTTCAACATCTCACCATCCCTTCCGCCATCACTTCACCATCACCGCCCCCTCTCCCTCCACACCACCCCCTTCTCCCTCTCCCCCCTACGCCGTTTCTCCCATTAACACTACATTTCCCCCTTCGGACATCATCAGATTCCTCTCTTTCCTCCCTTCTTCCCTCTCTCCCTCTTCCTTCGTGCGTCTCCGCGTTCCCCTCACTCTCCTCCCCCTCCCTCTGGCGCGTTATCTGACCCGGGAGGCGGGCGTGGAAACCCTCCCTTTTCGGGCGGCGCAGGGAAGCCTAAGGAGGTTTTTTATTAATATCTCGACATTAATCAGAATCCTCTCCTTCCGCGACAGGGAGAAGACGATGTGGAGGAAGGATTCTCTCTCCCGGAGGACGTGGGCGGCGCCGCATGGGCGGTGAGGGCGGGGGTCGGATGGTGGCGCAGGGGGGGGGGAGCGCAGGATAGGGTGCTGTGGTCTGGGTTTCGATGGTGGGCGGCATGTAGGTTGTATGTGGTCCGAGGTGGTCGTAGTAAGTGGTGCGTGGTGGTCGTAATGTCGTACGAAGCGGTCGTAATATGTGGTGCGAGGTGGTCGTAATAGGCCAATGTAAATGGACTATGTGGTAATGTTGATGCCAACCTGAATCATGCGGTGCGGTTGCGGTTAATGGTGCATTGCAGTTGTACTTATTGATGCTCTGGAGTTGTAATTGCAATTGTTAATGACGCGAAGTTGCAGTTGCAGTTGTCGGTGGTTTGAAGTTATAATTGTGGTGGTTTGATATTTAGAGCAGTCGCTGTTTTCTGATAACGAGGGATGGGTGTCTTGTGGTTGTTAGGGATATAGTTATATAGTTAGCAGTTCTGTTGGTTCAATCACGTGGTTGTTAAGATGGTGGGAGTAGTTAGGACGAGAGTATTATTATAATAATAATAATAATAATAATAATAATAATAATAATAATAATAATAATAATAATAATAATAATAATAATGATAATAATAATGATGATGATGGTGATGTGATAATAATAACAAAGATAATAATGATAATAATAATAATAAAAACGTCAGCTTCATGCACATGTCAAGCAAATACATCCACATAGAAACGGTGATAAAAACGAAAACAAATAAACAAGTAAAATATGAAACAGATGTGTTGGGAGAACTTTTAAAGTCTATAAATGAATAAGGAAACAAATAGATAATGGGAGACACACAAAAAAGAAAATAAATAAAATAAAAAACAAATCGACAGCACAGATGAGCAAGACAGACAGGAATGGAAATGACGACGTGGAATTACTTGTCATTCCAACCATTTCCACGTGTAAGAAACAGCTGCCGAAGCATTAAACCCGACTAGACACGAAGGAAAAAGAAAGACAAAAAGATAACTGTAAACGGGGGAAAAAACGGATCGCCAGTGTTTGTGAAAATATAGGTGTTTGTGCAGGGTGAGTGGGCATGTTTTGGGAGTGAGTTTCCAAGGGCTGCAACAACAAGGGGTAAACAGGGTTCTGTGCTGGACACTGCGATCTATTTCAGAGGGAGGGAGCGAGGGCGAGGATTAAGGGCTAAGCTGCTTTTCCAAATGCGAAAGTGTGTGGAGTTCAAGAAATGTCTTTCCAAGAGTTTTTTTTATAACAATTTTGTTTAGGTGTGATAGCAGTAACAATAATTGCTATGGTAATCATTGCTGGTGTAAAAATTAGAATCACACGATCATTTATATTACAATCACAATTATCAACAGCCATAAAAAACAATAATGTGAATATGAAAAACAAACAAATGAGATTGTAAAGCCAAGTGCCAATATATGCAATCATTGTTATGATAATATGATTGGCACGTTGCAAAAATGTTCGAGCAACATATCAGATGGTTATCGAAAATTTGTTTGATGGAAATCAAGTGTTTGTTTCCACAATTGTGCGACGAGGTACATAAGTTGTGAAACATGTTATAACTTCGTGCGTTTATTACTGTGCAAGCCGTGAGCAACATATATCATTAAGATGCTCCCTGTTTGCATGAATCACAGAATAAACACGTCACGCGTGCATTGCTGTGTTCAGCATCAACAGTCATGGAACCTTATGAAACTGCCATTAGGTTCCCACTTAGCCTTGCGAGTGCAGTGCACGTACTCACGATGAAAGGAAGAAACGCAGGGCGTGTGAATACAAGAGGGCGGCGACACTTACCTTGTGTGTTTTAGCAAGATTGTCCAGCGGCTGAAGATCGTGCTGCGAGTGGCCCGGGCCGCACTCCCTACAGCCTGACCACCGACAAACTAAACAGTAGAGGGAGGGCCGCTCCCCGTGGGCGGCACAGACCTCCCCTGCCCCTGGGATAGAGCCTCCCAGGGGCGCGACGGAGCCCAGGGTGTGCGTGGCGAGGGGCCCCCGGGGAGGGTGGCAAGAGGTCAGGCAAGGGCCACAGTACAGCACCTGGCACTGCTGGCACTCCGTGGTGGCCGCGCGCGGAGGCCCTTCGCAGAGCTGGCAGGGCGGCAGAGTCGCGGGGGTTCCTGTGGGCGCGGAGGTGCTGGCGGACGCCTCCCCCAGGGAAGGGTCTCCTCGCTGGCGGGCGATGATGCGAGACATGGCAGTGTAGCGGGGCAGGTCGGCGGCCGCCCCTGGGCCCAGCGCGGACACCTTGTGGCACACGGGGCACCGCACGCCCTGCTGCTGTCCTGCGGCGGGCTGGCCGTCGCCGCCCTCATTGTTGACGGTGGTTTCCGGACTACTCACGTAGGACGTGGGTCGGGATGCCACGACCACACCGCTGTCGGTCTCACTGTACACCGAGGCTTTGTCACTGTCAGCGCCTCCGTCAGGCGGATCGGGGTCGTGGCCAGGCGGCCCGGCCTGCTGGCCTCCTACGGGCTCAGCAAGAAGGGCCTGGACACTTCGCTGAAGACTACATGCACATTTCAGACACAAAGCGTGTAAGCACGGCAAAAGCACGGGCTCTGTGAAGATATTCGCACACACGGGACACCGTATTTCCTCCTCCATCGCTCACGATGGTCGGCGCAACACTGAAGCCTTGACGGTTCACGACCGCCGCCGGTTCGGGTGCAGACTCGCCCCCCCCCCTCACTAGCCCGCCGGCGAGCCTACATGAGCGTTTGGTGGCGCGCACGTGCCGCCACACAGCTGGTCCTCCGCCGACACCCAAACACGAGCCTCGCATGTAAACAAAGCACAGCAGATTTTTCATTCCACCAAACATTATTTTGTGAATGATGTGAGGGGGGAGGAACGCTTCGCCGGCAGTGTAGGTGGCAGTGACGGCGCCGCTGTGAATGGGTAGAAATAAAGTGATCAAAGTGACTACTGACTTTAATAACAGTCTTCCTCCATTAGTTTTATGGGGAGAACTATTAGTATCGTCTGTTTTGTTATCCTTTACAACGAGCCTTACTTTTAACAACAGTAAACATATAGATCCTCATGATGCTTTTAATAGCGCTAAATTTAGCGCATGTAAATTTTATCTAACAATTTATTCCGATTCTCTTATCTCACATTTATATCTACCCTGTATTTATCAATCTATCTCGTCGATCTGTCTTTGAATAGGATAGATCATTCTATGTATTTATAAATAAATCATCATAATTACAATTTACATATAATACAACACAACACGCACAAAACAACACACAACAAAAACACACACACACACACAAACACAAAAAACAACACAAACAAAACAACATATATATATATAATATATAATATTATATAGTATTAATTTATTATTAATATATCTGTGTCTCACCTATTTGTGTGGTGTTTATCTACAATCCCATCCTTAGTGTCTCGAAAACCAAATCGTTTTATTTTCTTTCGATTATTAATTATAAGTAAATAAATAATAACTACATATATAAAAACCCCCCCCTTTTTATTTTATACGGTGTAAAAATGTATTTGATTCATCTTAAATGGCCTATTAATAATTCTCTGCCACTAAACTATTAACTTACATTTCAATCATTCCGTATATAAGTATATATCTATATATAATTTAAAATATTGCTCCGTCTAACTAATCCTTCATAAGCACGTGTCTTTCAAAATTTCTCCATACTCTAATACCTTACGTACATGACAATAACACCCCACTGATATATACTTATACTTACTATTCAACTATTTAATAATCCCTTCTATGTCCAGTCTCCTCTCTCTCTCACCTTGTTATACCTAAAACCATACGCCTGCTGTTGTACACAGTTAGCCTCTCCGCCTTGTACATCTTTCTCCTCGAAATAAATAAACTTAACTGAAATAAATAGCTCCCTCCGTGTTTGTACGGAATAAGATATAAATGGCGTAATGTCTAATCAAATAAAATATAAATAATAATGTACCCTCCATGCATATAGGGTGATGTTTAAGCCCGTCCAGAACTGGCTAAATAAAGCGCGGTGGGTGGATATGAGGAGTAGAAGCATAATGAGGGGTAGTGGACGATGGGGAGGGTTCGCGGATATGGTGTCGAGTTGCATCACTCCCCGGTGCCCTGTGGGTCCTTATGCCGGGAATCTCGTTCCTCTTTCTCTCTCTTCAATTCTTTCTCTCCCTCTCTCTTTTTAATATATCAAATCTCAAGTCAGTGACTTATAATGGCTCATAAGATAATTTATGTTCGCCTGTCGAAATGATAGACTTGATAGTATACATGTTGTCCATCATTTTTATCTTTTTACTCCCTCACCCTATCATCTACGATACATACATCTTACTATGTGTGATACATTGAAGTATATGAATATATATTTAGTATTTTAGTATGACCATATTATATATAATATTCATTCTCATATATGACTTATATATATCAGCAATATTTTGTGTACGCCTGTATGTAGATATATAGAGGTTACCCCAAGATTACCAACAACAACAAACATACAACTATAAGTACAAAACTCACTCACACGACAACAATTTCGCGTTTTTCTGAAATTAGGTATATATTCTAATTATTAATATATGTAGAAAAACAACAAATTATGGAAAATATATTACTCCATAAGCTCGTCTCTCCTCTATTCCTCGCTTATGTATTCCATCACTCGTTACCTCCTATTATTACCTTCTCTGTCTCCCTTTACATGCGTGTGTGTGTTTGTGTGCTGATGGCGTTCGTTGTGTCGTGTGTGTTGTGAGCTTGTCGTGTGTGTGTGTGTGATGTGTGATATGTTGTGTATATGCTAGTGTTTCTATATTACTTAGTACTCTTTCTTATATATTTATTTCTATTATTATATGTCTCGTATTTATCTATGTCAATTATTGTTTGTTATATTATTTTATCTCTTATTCTTCTTTACTCTAGAATATATTTATTCTATATATTTAACATAATATAACATTTAATATATATTGTATCACCTTTATCTATATATCATATATATATACTTATATAATACCTCTACTAACTCCTATTTATCACTATCCTCTCACTTTACATTATTATATACCACTATAAACTATACTTATATACAACCAAAACACATTTATATATGATTATATATATCTACCATATAACCTATATATATACTTGTGTGTGTGTGTGTGCGTGCTGTGTGCTGTTGCTTGTGTTGTGTGTGTTGTGTCCGTGTGGCGTTTGTGTGTTTGTGACATTTTATGTCGATTATTACTTATCTCTATTCTACTTTTTTCTATCTATATATATATCTCTTATAATATTATTATATTATTATTAATCCTATACTCATGAACATAACCACACACACATCTTCCCACTAAAAACACTACTTTATCCTCTTTAATGTATTATTATATATTTATATCTTCTCTATCACTATATGCTTTACTTACTATTATATGATACCCTTTACTTATAAGCGGCCCATCTAGACTAACGTATATAGGCATTACCCTTACTTTATTCTATATTATCATGGTATACTATTAAAGTTAATTAACCTAACCTCATTACCGTATATATTATATTCCTTCCCTCTACCTATACATTATGCCATGGATACTGTCTATGGGTATACTGACTCCACATCACTCATATCATAACATATCTTAATTTAATGGCTATCTCTTCTTCAAATTATCATCACAATATAATAATTATATAATTATCTATATATGCAAGAATGGTTATCATTATATATATGATTTAATTAAATCACGTGTGTATACGCTCTCTCTCGCTGCTTATACTAAATATTCCTCTAATATATTACCTAATTATGTAATGCATTTAAGATCCTATATAAATAACATATTCTACTTGGTGACTATTATATAATCTTATCTATATATATATATAAGAATTGTTTCATCAAGCTCTCCCTCTCTCCATCGAATTAACTACTATAATGTTTCCCATTTCGCCGTTCGTGCGCCATAAACATCAAGTTTCCTCTCTCTCTCTCTCTCTCTCTGTCAATCTCTCTATTCAAATGGAACGTGTGTCAATTCCTTCGACATTTAATATCCTTATATAAAGTACAATAAGATGTGAGTTTTGCTCTATATATCCTTTCGTACAGTTAAACACTATTTTACATTACTTTGTATTCCTATGACCTTTTGTTCTATGCCCTCTCTCTCTGTATCATTCATTTTTATTCCCCATTTTGTCTTTCTACTTCCCTTCCCTTGAAAGAAAAAGAAAAATAAACGAAATAAAATAAAAAAATACTCATTTCTCATCGGAGCCAAATTCGTCAGAGTCTACATTTCTCTTGTGTAATAAAAGATCGTGTTTCTGTTAGACGGAACAAAGGGATAAAACACAACTGCGATGGATGTATCTGCAACAGTTTTCCGACCAATTACATATACGGCGGCTGTACAAAATAATCCTACACGGTCATCGTCGTTGCAAATGCAATGGCGTCAACTCTACAACTTTAACCTCGTGCTGAAAGACTTTAATCATTTAATCTCGAACTGTGTCCCAGCGCCTTGACACGAGGGGTTCATCGAAAAGAGAGAGCAGGAAAGAGGAGGGGGGGACCAGAATGGGAGGGATTGAGAGAACGACACTTGGAGGGGGGGAAAAAACCTGAAGGAGGTAAATAAGGTGTGGCGGTAAGTGCCCTCCTTGCGGATTTGCAATGCAAACGGTGGCTACAGTTGTATCGGCCCCATGTTTAGAATCGGCACCACGGGCGCGACATAAATTCATGTGACAATTATGTAAACATGCAGAAGTCAACCGGATATGCAGTAGATGCCAAAGGAGGAAGAAAGGATGTTCGTAATTTGCAAGATCGGAGGCCGACGTTACTGCAAGGCACCCGAGGAAAATTGCTGATCCTCCGTCACCAATTTAAAAAAAAAAGGGGACGAAATTCTAAAGGAGAAAAGAAAATCAACCGAACACTAAACGGTAAATTGTTGAGCTTATGCTGGCCCGATCCCCCCATAACCACACTTGAAAGAGGATGATACCGACATACGCAAAGAACCGATCTGTGTATAATGTTAAATGGGTCCAGATACGTAAGGCATATGGTCTGGCTAAGTTTGCTGTGAATGTAGAGATAGACAGTATGAGTGTGTAGTGAGTAGTGGATGTTTGCATTGTGGATGATGATTGGGAGGATGTGTGAATAGTGTTGTGAGTTTAGAGATAGACGAAGATGTGATGTGGAGTGATGTTTCATTGTGGAATTAGATGTGGTGAGGTGGTGTGATTCTCACCGATGATGAGTGTGAAGTGCAGAGATGATGCTGTGGTGTATATGTAGTGAGTTTTTTGTTAGCCCCGGATGGTGAGTAGTTGGTGGTAACCAACCGGTATTAATGTAGCGGAGAGAGTCAGCATGGTTCAGTAAGACAAAGAGACCAGGGCATTCAGGGAGAAAAAGGATAAAGTATGTTTTTTTAGAATGGAATGCAAGAGGATCTAAACCAATAGGAAAGAAAGAGATAAACATTGATGTAATTCTAGAATAAAAACATAAAAATAGGAGTGATATGAGGAAATCATATAGTTGTGCCCGAACATGCCTCCT